CTTTTACAGGCAGGAAAAACATTGAAGTCGTTTTCAATTAATGTTCCTTAGAACAGTTAAATCTTAAAACTAAATGGTTGATGGAGCAGAGGTAATAGATGCCTCTGGTGCCAAAGAAGCAACAAGATTCCCCAAAAACTTCTCAAGCAATGAAAGCCCAAATGTAAGCACATATAAGTAATAAAAAAACTAAAATAGTGAGATGAATTACAATCGTCATCAGATTTTTGAGTTTTGTAGAAACAAAAAAAAAATGGAGAGAAAAAAGGATTTAGTAGTCTATGATATCTAATCCATTTTCATCTTTTTGTTTCCCCAACTGATATTCAGATTAGTGACAGAAATCAAGAATGTCAGGAAGACTGGTAGGAACATTTGGCCTCTCAAGATATATTTGCATGAATAAATTTGTTCCTAAATCTTTTGTACACTGCAAAAACGATGTAGAAATAAGCAAAAATGTCTTAAATTAAGTGTAATTAAGGTAAATAAGATAATCTGCCAATGGAATTTGTTTTTTTGATTCTTAACCCTGTAATGCCAAATGTATCGTATTTGATACATACGGTTTCTGAAATGTTTTACGTCTGACACCTTTTGCATAATTTAATGGTAAAAACTTTGCTCAAAATCTCATTGTACACAATCAGATATACCTGATAACAGCCAGTAGAAGACTACACAAAAAATAATTTTGACTTATTGCATAGTAATAAATTATTAATATCAAAAATTTATTTCTGTTTTTTCTTTTTACATATTTTGTTAAAAGGCCAAATAAGGACTTCAAACCAAAAAAAAGTAATTTTCTGTTTTGTTTTATTTTTGGATCGGGCTTTAAAGGGTTAAGTAAGATAACTAAATAATATGTACTAGAAATAAGACAATACAATTGTTTTTTTCTTATTTTAAATGTAAATTGTCTTGTTCCATTGCTGTCTCACTTTTGCAGCGTAGGAGTGATTCAGGAGAAAATGTTATATTCACCATGTTGCTACCTAAATTCTCCATATTTCTAATCTTCTCTCAAGTAAACGTTTACAAGTTTGGCCATTTCTGTAAATGAACACTGTCTGACAAGTGCTGGATAGACGTAGCACTATATAGAATTATCAAAGCGGTAATCATACATGGTGCACTCATAATTATACATGGTGCACTCATAATTATACATGGCGCACTCATATATGCACAGGTGGAATGCCTCATGTTTACGAGGATCTTTAATGAAGTTATCCAAAGTTAAGAACATTTGTTGAATCTGATGTGGTGCACTGGTACAGTAGGAGCCCTCGGATGGAGAAAAATTAGAGGACATTTACCACAAGAATACGTAACTGTTGTTGCACAAGGGCCACTGGGTTGATGGAAAATGAAAAACAGTGAGTGAGAAATACAAAGATACACCTCCAAGTGATTAACTTACACTTGCATACACCCACTCAGCATGAACACACCTATTTCTATAGATATGCTCATCCAACTATTAATATCAGACATATATGACATATATATACTGACAGGATATCAACGGATATATGTTTTGTCTACTTTAATACTGGAGGGAATCCTGATTGAATAAAGGCAATTAGGAAACTCTCTTGGGATATTCTTTTGACAGAGCAAGGTTGCTCTGGCAAATGTACACAACTATCTACCATATTTTATGACAAGACACAAGAAAGTAAAAGAAAATGTGAATCCATGAATCTACACAACCTTTATCAAATTGGAACTCTAAGCTTACTCATCATATTGGAAAATGAAGTTTAAGTTCAAAGAAAAACATAAACAAGTATAGGCAATAACAAATTTCTTCTACTTCTGAAACACATTCTTCCTGGTGGCTGTTTAACTGAAAAGTGACAATATATATCTATATATATATATCTATATTTAAATATATATATAGATATATATATACATACATATATCTATCTATCTATCTATCTATCTATCTATCTATCTATCTATCTATCTATCTATCTATATATATATATATATTATTTTTTTATTATGGTAATTAAATCTGCAAAAGGATAAACATCCTCAAGCACAGCCAGGTGAGGAGAAAACTTTAAAGCATCTTAAAAAGCATCTTAAAATGCAGTTCACACCGTTTTGTGGTGTCAACTCTCATTAAACCTGAACAGAGGTTGCAGTTAAAGCCAGAAACCCAGAAAATAAACCCAGAGCGTTTCTCTGGTGGATGAACACCAGTGTGGCAGGAGCTGAGAGTGTGACGAGTGAGGAAAAGCCAACCAACCCCGCTCTCCCTCTGCTTCTCCAGTGATTTATCTTCTTCTTCTAACTGGGGCACAGTGGGGAGGAGGAGGTGGGCAAAAGGGGGTGTCTTATCCCAAAAGCAAAAAATAAATAAAAACTATTCCTGCCCCTCTCGATACCCTACCACCAAACCCTGGAGGCCTGTTCTACTTCCAGCCACCTGGTTGACTTTGCAGCAGCTCAGTGTGTGCGTGTATTGCCCTGTAATTGTGTGTCTTTGAGGGGTAACCTTCACCTGGACATGTGCAGATGGAAAAGAAAATGGATGGAATAATGCCTCAAGCTAAAAATAAAGAGCCACTTTTGTCAGCGGTGATAACATCTCACTCCACACTGTTGAACTGTGCGACTGAAGGACGATTTGTTAAGCCTGACCAGGGGCATAATTTCCTCTCTGTAAATTAAAGATGAAATGTCTGCATTCTGGCCCTGCTATTATCACGGGAGCCTGTCAACAGAAATATGCCAGAGAGAGGGGAGCTGGATGAAAAATGAATCTGCAGTTTGAAGCACTCTTTGGGGATATTTTACCCTGACACATGCATAATATAAGTGAAACTAAAAAAAAAAAAATTTGAATAATAGTTACTGTCCTAATAATTAAAAAGGACTATCAATGCAGAGTAGAACTGAGTTCACTTTACCTGTTTGTTCATTCCTCTTCTTGCTTTATTCTAAGTCAGATTTTTTTTTACTTAACATATGAGAAATGCCACAACAAAACAATGTCTCTCAAACAGGCAGAAATGTTTTAAAAGTGCCATTTTTTCCACAGAAACGTAATGGGAAAGAAAATCCTCTGGGATTGAACTAACATGAAAAAGCATCAAATGTTGCAGCTCTAGTGTGAAAACACACGTGTGCTGCCATGAAACAGGAAGTCAAGTCATGTTTAATCAAATCGGTGAGTAAATGGTGAATGGTAAATCTATATAAGAAAACAGTATAGACATCATTTAAGTTTTTGTATGAACAATATAAACTTAATAACCAAATAAAAGCACAATTAAAGTGTGTTTACAGTAACTGGAATTAATCTGATAAATTATATGCTAACAATGCTATAAGATGCATTAAAGTCACTACATAAATCTCAACCACAATGTTAAGAATTGCCTAGAGAGTGGACCACCTAGGGTGCATCAAGGATGCAGAGAGCACCCCATCAAAGTTGATGGAGCCTGACAGTTTCCAGATAGCTTTTATTATGAAAAAAATGTTTGCAGTGCAATGGTGTTACATTACTGTGGTGACAACACATCTGACTGCAGAGTGCTACGTGGATTATTGCAGCAACATGTTGACATGTTGCCCACACACACCAACCAGGCTCGGTTATCAAAGAAGGAAGAAGGGATACATTTAAAAACCATCATGTTATCCTGGGAATGATGAGACAAAAAGAGGCTTGATCTAACCTTGTGCATACAGAATGATATATGTTGAACTGCTCACAGATAAAGAGTAGAAAAGCCCCACCTCCAAACTGCAAATATATGGTATAATGGGCCAGGGAGAACAAGGCCAGTTGCATGTTTTCAAGCTCAGACACAAAATGTCTTCATTGTACAGTCAGAGAGAAGTACTGACTGTACTTTGTTGTTACATGGTCAGGTAACAAGAAAGAAAATTTGAAAAAGAAAAACAAATTTAAGACTAATTTGGCTTTTATTAGTTGCAATATGACAAAAATTGTTAAATTAAAAACCTTGATTATGGAATTTGAAGGAAATTATTCCTTCCAAATAAACTCACAATAAAGGCCCAGTTGTTTAGGTCAAATTAAAAATGATTTTGGATTATTTGGAGATGAACTGCATCCTCTCATACAACTGAAAAGCTTCTTAGAAAACGTATATATGTTTTATTACCCTTAGCTGTAGCATAGCGTCAGGATAGTAGTGAAAGCCTCCTTTAAAGTGATGTGCAAGACAATTATGGCTGTCTTGATGTTTAATTAAAATTTTGTTTTCCACATTTCAGTGTCATTTGTTTTAAAGATCATAAAAACTAACTGCATGCTCTAAAGAAACCCAAATACTCTCAAATGCATTGGAGTAAAGAGTCCTAAAGCAGTGACCATGTTTCAACTCAACAGGATAAATATGAAATTATATAAAGAAAAAAAAAAGAAAATCCCCAAGATCCTTGCAACGGGCTGAAAAACTAAAATAGGAAGTGGATCAGCTTTAGAAGCTCAATATTTTAAAGCTGATAATCCATTTAGATATTTTACCTACAAAACATTCTCAATATTTTAAGATGCAAATTTATCTTTTTCTGGCCATTTTCTTTGTTAAAAATCAAAGGTCAAATCAATTTTTCCCCTGCAGACAAATGTTACATGTTTTCCTGTTTTTAAATGTGAAACAATCACATTTAATTAGAAAAGCCATAGTCATAGCAGCAGCACAGAGGCTTCTTGAGAATGTAATTACCATAGCCTTTTGTAAACACCACCTCCTTTCCCCTTGGCATCTTTGTTAGATATACCGATAAACTCTTCTGTTATTAAACCAAGTTAATATTGACTTTAACAAGATATTTTCTCACCTTTAAGCTTTATGGCCAATATTTCTGTTTGCTGCCACTTAACTAACATTGTTGTATTTCAGCTAAAAAAAATCATATATACTGCCATGAATTTGTTATTGCTATGAAATTGAGACTAGGTCTGTTTGAAACACTGAGGCGAGAGCAACAACGGTGGTCACCTGGTCTCGGAGACGATCGGTTTCCTCCTGGTATTCTGCCAGCTGCTTCTTCCACTGCTCTACGCTGCTGTTGGCTTCCTGAAGCGCTGACACCAGCTTGGCATTGCTGTCCTGCAGAGTGAAGAGTTCAGCCTCCAAGTTGATCTCACACATGGACCTGATAAGATGACCAACAGAGGGCTACTTAGAGACAATCTACTTTGATAACCGATTGTAATATTTCAAATTTTATTACTGATGTTGGCAATATACACTCTTAAGTAAAGGTTATAAAATGAAATAAAATTCTAGATTCTTTTGCATTTTTAATATACCATATATAAATAATATCTGTAACTTTAAAGCAATGCATAAACTGATATCCTTTATTTGAGTGTGGAAATACAATTTTTAGTTTCCTGGAATGAATTGAGGGAAATCTGGGATGAAATGACATCATATTTGCAGAAAGTGTCATTTGATGAGGGAGTAAATTGACCCAAATCTGTCTTCCTTAGCAGTCACCTGAAATTTGTTTAGGTGCTTGATTATTAAGTTTAGTTATTCAGGTCAGTTTCAAGGTGGATCATTGTTGAGACAAAGGCTGTTTTCGCGGTTATGTTGAAACAGCCTTAAAATGAATATCTGTACCTAGAGTGCATTTATTAAATGGGGTAACAATCCTACATATAGAGCTATTAACAAAATTATTGGTGATATAATAGTTCAATCTGAAAAGCTTACACAAAGAGAAAAGACAATAAGGAGAAATTTATTGATACAATTACTTTTTCTTTGGCGCTCAGACCTCAGCAGGAAACATAGCGCTTAATTTTGATAGGAACAGGAGAAAAGAATAGGGCTGTATCCCCCAGGCCTGAAACTGGTGGTGGAGTGGAGATAGATTAAGTTGGTCAGGCTGTAGACTGCTGGTTAGCGAGACAGTATGCTGAGCTTTATGGGGAGATCCAGTGAACTGCATGAGCTGATACTAAAGCTTCACTCAGGGACCTGGAAGATGGAAGGCCAGTTTGGATAACACAGGTTGAGAGAACCTCTCCATGATGAGCAAGCATGCAGCAACAGTGGAGAGGAAAACTCCCCGTTTGGAAGAAACCTCTGGCACAACCAGGCTCAACATGGCGGTCTTATGCTGGACCGGTTGAGATGAGACAGAGAACGCAGAAAGAGTCTGGGAGAAAAGACACTCTGATGAAGCTTTACATACGAATGTGGAGGAGGGGCTGGAGGCGGGTTGAAAAGGGGTCATCTGAATAAAGTCACAGCGCATCCGCCACCTGCGCACGTGAGCAGACAGGTGCATATCGGAGGACTTTTAAGATGAACTTTGGATGCCGATTGGCTTTCGTGGAGGTGTGGTTCAAAGCTGATTGGCTGTGTCGTAGGTGGATGTAGGAGACAAAGAGTTTCTTCATTTGAACTTCCACCTAGGATCCACTTAAACAAATATTTCTAAATAAAATATCTATGAAATCATAATGAGGAAAGACGGGCAATTTGAGGACAGCTAATTTTAAAAATAACCATGCTATGATTGTACACAAACTATTTTGCAAGAAAATATTGTTTTCTATCCTACCATCACAAATCTGAACATGTGAGAGGGCTGGTCTATTCAAAAACTTGCAAAAATCCTTTGACTTCAGCTTTATCTTCCTTAATATACTGCATGTTTTATTTTATTTCAAAAACTTTATTAGGGGTGCCAAAAAATGTGGCCAGCATATCGTACTATACTACATACGTTTTTAGCTGTGTTGATGATCTAATCTAATACAACCAGTTGGCATTTAAACAACCCAGTAAGTAATTAAATCAGTATTAAAGTACAGCAGTGATAGCCTTTGTCATTTTTTTTAAGGATTCAGATTTTTAATATGAACCAAAGCAGGTCAGCATGTGTCTTCAGGAGTGGAAAATTACACATCTGGGTCGCATATAAAAACCAACACCAGGCAACAAATGTGTTCTGCTTTATTATTAAATGGGAAAGATCTGGTGTGCCGATAAAGGTCAGGATTCAGCGGGGATAATTAATAAAGCACTGAGCTCTCAGCTGAGAAGATGCAGTCCAGAAGGATATCTTTGTCTTGACGACAAATCAGCTTGGCCCTCATAAAACCATAGCAACACCAGGGAAGAGTCTGCTTAGGCTTATGAAAATCATAAAGTAAAGTCTGAGGGATAATGGGCTGCAAGGCTACAGAGATGGGCTGTTCTGTGGCCTGTTTTCACATGGAGGGTTTAGTATTTAATAATGAACACCACAATGAAGCTTACTGTCTGCTAAGGTGAGCAGCATTACCCTATTTTACCTAAAGCCCCTCAACAAGTTACAAGGTTCTGCAAGGGGGTTCTGGACAAAAAATAAATAAATAAATAATAATAAATCATAAGTAAACAGATAGCTGAAAACCCAAAAAAGATTTTTTTATTTTTTTTCAGTAAAATGACGGCTAATCTACAAAGCGTCCCTGTCTGGTAAGAGGTAAAATCAGGTGAGAATTTCTGGTGAAAAAAAACAACTAAAGGTAAATTAAGAAAACAACTGTATTTCAGTTCTTCTAGTTGAAGACGTTTCGTTCTTCATCAGAAGACTGTCCTCAGTTCCCATCCGTCCATAAACTGGATGACTGACAACCTAAACCAGCATACTATAATAATTGGTTCCTGGGGGTCTGTATGGCAGATCTATTGTTTTTAGTTCATGGGCTGCAGCCACAGGAATATCTTAACCCAACTAGACCCCAGCTGGTACTCATTTCTCTATGTACAAAGCTCTGAGTAAAAACGTCCCAGTTTTCCTATATAACGGCACTAAAATAGAGATTCTAAACCCAACTGTTCTTAATTTTTTATTTAAATCAAAAGGGCAATTATTGTTTTGCAGTTTCTATTGCCATTGGAGTAATAAATGCGTTAATGACACTTTTTTGTCATTAATCAGCCTTTGTTGTTAAATCTTTCTTTATATGCAGATTTCAGCAAAGAGATAAAATAACCCAATAAATTCTGTAGAGCTTCTAATGCTGCCTATGCAGCTTTACTCTTAAGTCGTTCCTCCCAGAGTGTTTTTAGGACAAAATGACACTGGCTGAACAGAAACTTGTGGTGTGAAAAAAAAAACGTTCACATCACTGGTACTAAGATAGTGTTATTTTTAAAGTGCACAGGTTAACAGCCATGCAAGAAGCACCATTCAGTCTGCTGAACTCTGGATCCGAGTTGAGATGAAGCGGTCAGTCACACAGCGTCAAAGGCTTCACATTAAATGCGCAGCAGCAGCCTCTTCCTATGTGAAAGCAGGCTAGACTAGTGTAGTCGGACTAAATCAGCTTAAAACCCAGGTAATCGCCCAGCTCATGTAACTCTGTAAAGGATTATTCCAGGTTTTTTCTTCAATCTCCCCCCAATCTTTGATTTTCCTTAGCTGATAGCTGCCATGAATATAAGAAACAGCTGATTTATTTTAGATTGTTAACAATCAATCATGTTTTCTTACTCTCTTCTTCTTTTTGTCTGCAAAACATTTAGTACTTGTTCTGGGTTTGTTTGTGACCTCCTGGATGAGTCTTTGATGCTCTCTTTGAGATTAGCCAGCCGCTTCTGAGAAGGTTCACCACTGTTCCCTGCTTTCCCCCTTTTGGATAACAGCTCTCACTTTGGTCTGATGGATTTGCAAAGCCTTTGAGATATCTTTGTAACAGACAAATATTTATCATCAAAAATGTTAGTTTATATAGTATCAGTTGTAATCTCAAGGCTTTTTATAGAGAAAATCCAATCAAGTCATACAGTCGGATTGGTTAAAAGGAATAGACAGGAACTAGAGGAAGCAAACTAGCTTGGACTACAGATCAGGTATAGGCTCAGCTGGTATTAGTGATGTGATCCATGTTTTTGAAAAAGTCATTAACTACCTTAAGTTTGCTTAAAAAACATGTTTGGAAATTTAGTTAATTGATTAAAATGTTGCTTTTCCCATCCAGTTCTTTAAACAAGATACTTCATATTACACATCTAAAAAACTGTGATGAAAAGTCTGCTGTCACATTACAGAAACCCCCTCACACCAAGAATGCAAAAACTGTCTTTTAAAAGGAGGAAACATCCAACAGAACTAGGTTGACCTTGAGAACCAGTCATGTTGTCAGATAGGTGTTTGATTTATTGATTCTTCCTGTCTGGCAGTAATCACACCAGATGAGCTACCAAGAAAGTTATGATTTTTTTTTATAAAACCTCAGGTTACTTTGGAAAGCATTTTACCCCCAACAAATAAAATCGATGTTTAAAAAAAGCCATTTTGTATTTGTTCAAAGAATCTAAGTAGGATGTTGAAATAAGTTTTATGAATGGAAATTTTTTTATGCGAGGAAAAAAAGAAAAACAGAATCAGCAGCATCCCCAGCATAGTATTACAAATATAAATTTACAGATATTTATTAGCTCTGGTTTATAAAAAGCCAGACCTTTAAATAAAGGCTTTTATTACCCTTCAGACAGCATCTTTTTAACCCGTTCCTTCTCGACAGTCAGCTCCACTTCTGCGCTCCTGCTGCGAAACAGCTTTTCCTCGCCGGGCCCGTTAACTGTCAGCAGCGGTGGAGAGTGACGCTCCTCTGACAGCTCCTGCGGCGCAACATGAAGTTGATAAAACAAAAAGTTATTCTTATGACACCAGCTCTGTTGCTAGCATGAAATAAGAAGCAGAACTCTATCTTATGATGTCCTATGATGAGTCACAATAGGTAAAACTTCCACATAAACATATAAACGTCCCTGTAGGGTAAAGTGCCAGTAAAAGTGGTCATAATCCTTGATATTTTTCAATAATTTTCCATCACAAAAACATACTTTGTTGTATTTTCTATGAAAATACCAATTATTTTTATTTGACTAGATTTTTTTATATTTTTATTTAATTTAGATTATATCAATACATTTAAGCCATGATTGAAATCATTGTTGGTTGCAATAATTACCACAAATGATTGAGAGAAAATCTTAAACCCATTTAAAACATACTTGTAATAAATGCAGAAAGAAGGTAAAAACAAGGTACAAAAAAACATACTCAACAGTTGTGCACATTATATTGTCAAAGCATTTTTTATTTTAATTTTGAGATTGGAATTTAAAAATGTTCAAATTATGTCAATCATTATGCATGGCCCTGAGCAGATTAACAGCTTGATTAAAAAACATAAGTATGAACAGTAAATTTTTTATTTTATTTTTTACTTTCCACACATTCTGGGGAACATTAACAAGAATATTCTAAAAATAACTATAAAGAAAAAGTACTAATTTAGATTGTTAAAGCCAAATTAATAATATAAAAAGATTGCTTCATCATTTATTTGTCTTAAACCGTGTCTAAGTCTAAACTTAGTCTTTAATATTGTATCCAGAAAGGCAGGAGAGCAACATAGGAGTGAGCTCAGTCTGCTGGTGCAGCACATGTCCCATCTGGGCTCCTGTAAACAAGCCCTAAGCAGAACAAGTAGCCATGTGTGCAACCCAGCTGTTTTTTCTTTATACAGCCTTGCAGGTTTGATTGGACTCAACAAGAAATAATTAATGTGCTGATTCATGTTCCGTGGCTTCATCTGGTGTTTGTGTGAATAAAAGTATGTATTTAAGCTTGTCACACCTCAGCTTGAGGGTCTGATGAGATTTTACGTTTAAAGCATTTCAGCAGCAGTCAGGACCTCAACATTGGAACAAAATAAAAAATTGTACGGGCCAAACTCAAAATAAACAATTTTTAACAGAAACAATAATTTGATATTGAAATTAAAAGATGAATTTATTTTAACAGAGCATTCACTACCTTATTAGAATTTAATATTCATTAAAGCGACAGTGTAGCTAATTTTTTTAAGTGTCGCTATCAAAAAGACATATTTTTCTAAAGCCTAATAACAGTTGCTTAAATAAATGACAGTGTAAACTTAGCTTAGAATGAGTTGCTTACAAATACATAGTAGGTGTACAAACTCCCCAGTAATATATGACTAAAATTTTATGTGCAAACTGTGTAGAAAAAAACACTTTTAAACCATCAACAAGCTTCAGGCATGACTCTGGGTGGCTATTTTAGCCGTCTTCCTTGCAGAAATGTTTGAGTTCATTTACACTAGTTGACTGTTAATCGCTGTCTCATCGTTTAAACATAGGCAGCTGTTACATGGTTTAATGTCATTGAATTATTATCTCATTAGTATACCCATCTTTATTAAACTAAACCAGAGGTTAATACAACTATTGAGTTGAGTTATCAATGAACTTAGATGCTCTGTCTTTTATATATCAAACACTTTGTGTAATTAACAAATACCACTGGGGGAAACAGACCCCCCTGCATGATGCTACCACCACCATGCCTTAGAAATATTACAGTTCTAGTGGGTTTTAAAAACCTCGCATCACCTCATACAAACATTTATTTTTACTGGGCCTATTAATTTCAATCTATGTTTTCTCCAGGGGGTAAATGGCTTATCCAAGAAGACCCCCACAAATTTCTATCAAGCTCAAACGTGTTTATCAAATGAGCACATTATTGTTAAAAGGGAAAGAAAAAAATTGAAATCACAATGAAAAGATTAATTAAGACATTGGTTCCACAAAAAAACTAAACAAATTAAAACTTTCCCATTAAACTAACCCACCTATATGAACCTGAGGAACTTTGACAAAATGAAAAATCAAATATCCAGCCAGAATATGGTCAGGATACAGCTTCTAATGGATATTCAGCAATTAATAATTCCAAATATGGAATAAAAAAAGTCAATCACCATTTTAGACCTAATGCTTTCAAAATTCCCTTTAGTGGTTTTTACTATATTCATTCCAAGCTAGAAAGAAAAAAGCTGTATCCGGGCATCATATTTGGCCACTGTGTTGTGAAACCGAGCAGATGAATTATCTCTTTTTTTCTTTCTTGCATAAAACCTAAACTTGAACTCTTAATGTTACAACCCTGCACTGCAGAGAGAGCTTTTATTATTCATATGAAAGAGCATGGCTGTACTCTCCAGAGGACTAAAGTTGATTTTCTTTTAGCTCAGCAGCTTTCTGTTTATGTTTTTTTTTCTCTCTGTGGATGGTTGTGGAAGTAAAACACATAGCTAAGTCCTGTGGATAATCTCTTGGTTCGTAGGGGAGGAAAAAACGACTTTGGTCCAGCGCTGAAGCAGACAGATCAGCGGGGTGTTATCAATGAATTATTCATACCAGAGATTAAGTTAAGTCACTACAGATTTAAAGTACTTGTTTTATATACACACACTCCCTGAGAGACTGAGATACAAAGTAAATGGTTTACAGCAGAGACTTGCAAAACCAATAATTCATAGAGAAAGGCATCTTTTTGCCTTTGTATGATTTAAAGGCTGTACATATTTAAATAATAAATCACTAATACACTCACATCCTGTACTGCTGTTATTGCTTCCATCTCTTACTTGTTTGCCATAGCTAACTTTGCTCTGAAATCACTTTGAACAGAGTAAAGATGAAATATTGAGCCTGATAGGCCATGCAACATTAACACTGCCATTCCAGTGAAACTCTTGGCGGCTTATCTTTTCATTGCTTCGATTGTTGTGTGGAGTGTGGGCCGTCACGCACCTGCGAGAGCTGAGATGGATGAACATGTCCCAAGCCGCAGCAGGAGGGAAAACACATAAGACAGAAAAATGAATTAGATAAAAAAGAAAAAAAAAACAAACAAACATAACAAGCATTTTAAAAACACAGGGAGCCATCTGTTTGTCTTGCACTGGAAATATTCTGTTCTTCATGTAAATCTAGAGCTATGGTTAACTTTCTCTGTTTGACTGAGAGGTAAACTTGCAGCATAAAAAGCCTAAAGTCAGTCATAAATAAATATTGTAGCCCTTTTTTGGAGTATTTTATCTGAACCATTAATATAACTTGACATGATAGTTCTGAATTCTGTTCTTTTTTTGGTACCGACCATATTCCATCGATACTACCAAACACCTATTCATGTAAAATCAAATAGTACCATGTTTCAGCACCCAAACGCATCACGACGAGGCAGAGCAAATGGAAGAGGGGTCGATTTTCCATGAACACAGCTTTGCACGTAAAAGAATGTGATGAAAAGCCGCTCCTACAGCAAAAAAAGCACGGCTAAATTTGAGGACTTAAGCGCACATTTTTTCACAAGGCTAAAGAGTGCACAGTTTTCAACAGCCTCGGATCCACAGCCACAACACCTGCATATAGCACAGTAAGCAGCCATTAGCAGCTCATTGTCTATAGCCAACAACATGAGGCAGCAGCATCATCTTTGTCTGCTTCAGGTAAATAAGTCTAGCGTTTTAGATTATGTTTGCATGTGCTGAAAATCAGCCCTGCTGAGTACAGACGGATTCCCAGGTATCAGGAATCAGTACCGTATTCGTTTAAATGTGAACGGTAACCATCCCTATACACGATGTGTGCTTAAGGCCTAATAGTATGTTGCTTTATCGATTGCTTTGACAGCAACTGAGGATTCCTTTCAATTGCTCTTTATGCAGAAAACCGTATCCATGGTTTTTTTCAGAATCTCAAATTTTTTATTTAATTACCCTATATAGGCAGCTGGATCATTGTCCTGCTCCATATTCCAAGTGTGCTTAATGCCTGGACATTCTGCTTCTGGAGACCAGCATTCATAGGTACATCGCCTACAATATCTTATGCTGGTGCTGTAGCATTAGCTCTGCACTATATTAGATAATAGTCTAATAATATAATAATATATTGAGTTGTCCACGTACTCTTGGAGCAATTTTGGTAGCACTACAGCTGTTCTACGCTTAAAGACGTGAGTCAGGACAGGTACTAAACGTTTCTATGGGATTATATTTATTTTGTCTTGTAAATATTACAAAATTGTTTTAAACTCCACAAAAACATTTTATGTGTTAACCGGAAATACAAATTTAACTCCAAGTGCAAATTTAACTTGTTCACTTCTGTGAATATATGTCACCACTTTATCAGTTTTCTGCATTTGTGGATAATAAACATCACTGTGGTCGGCATGATTCCCAGAAAACCACACTATACGAAATGGCTCAAAAACCTTTCATAGATCAGTCAATATCAATGACTTTGTCCTATGTTGCTGGATATCCTTTAGATCAGGGCATAATGTGTTGCTTTTTGAAATTGTTTAGCCTAATTCCTGTAGTCAGACAGGTTCTTGTTAGGCAGTAGTCAGGGATGTGTGTGACTAAATGAAAAACGGCAGCTTTCCAAAGGAGGTTATGTAAAGAATATTCATGATTAAAAAATATTAGAAGGCAAATTTGGATAGTTTTTGTAACTATCAATTAAGATGCCCTTAAAATATGTTTTATGTAACCCACCCCCACCGTGCCTCTCAGCAATGGGAATGAATGTTGATTGAAAAGAAAGTGAAGCCTGATTACTATTGTCATATTATTGCAGTATTCAAAAATAGCATCACAACCGCTTCTTTTCTTACTACTGTGCAGGCCTAATGTAATCCACACTGTAACACTGATGGTAACCTGCTGGTTTAAAATTTAAACAACCATCCTGATAGCTTTTATCACAATGTCTCTGCAGTGCTTAAGTACATCCACGTTCTTTACTTATTTATCCCAGCATCCGTCCCCTCAGCTTTCCAAAGTTTCCGTTTCTACATCCTGTGTTTCAATGAGACCCGTTTTACTTATTCATGCATCGGCTAGGGTCTCCCTTCACTCACCTGTCCTGCCCACCAAACAACACACTGCAGTCACATGCAGATTCAGCTCCTTTAGGTTTTTTTTAAGCCTTTAGAGTTAGTAACTTGAAATATTGATATGTTGGCTTTTGCTTCTTCTTCTGCCTCTGCAAAGGTTTACCCATGTACAGTAAGGAGGGAACAAAAGGCATACCAGGCGAAGCCTTTTATAATTTGGAGATGGGTATTTACATTTACGCAGCGGTTTTTAGCTGCTTCTTTCCCTGAAAAAGAAGCTTAATTCTACACTTACAATAAAACTAATCAGTTTGACTACTTTAGGTTCTATAGTGGAGCCTGTCAATCTTTTTGCTGAAATTTAAAGTTACATATGCAAACAATAGTTGTTGCCAAAATTCCTCAAAAGTTCTGTTTTTCAGTTTGATTTAATTTTGACTAATAGAAAAAAGGAAGCTGCTTTTTTTTCTCTCTCTTTTTTTTAGTGGGTTAACTTTGTTACCAGACAAATTAAAACCAGAATTTTTTAAAACTGCTAAACTGGTCTCTGAAGATCTAATTACTGTCCTTCTGCCTGTATTCTGGAGGTACAATTTGTCATTTTTCATTCTCATCTGACTGAGTCCTGCATCTCATGTTTGAGCTGTGTAAATAAGGCTGAAAGCTGGAGCTTTACTGCCGGCAGATCCCCTGCTGCTGCTTGCCTATCAGAGGCAGAACATGCACTCTGCGAAGCTTGAGGCTTCAAAGATACGGCTCTGCATAGCTGTAGCCCCCCACACTGACCATGACTGCTTCTGAGCAGAGGGTTTGCTTCCTTACCTTCAGCTATTTTGATTAATATTTGTTCACTCTATGCTGTATTCTTTATATTTTAACAATCATCGATGTGTGAACATTTCGTCATACAAAGAATGAATATTCAGTAGGTAGTTCAGATTATCCTCACATAACTGTACATGTGTCAGACAACAGACACATAAAAGCTCAAACTGGAGAAAAAATGGAAAAAATGACTACTCATATGTTAGGGAGGAGTTAAGACATCTAGAACTACTTTCACACATTTTGCAATTGCTTATGCAGTTTGATAATTGTGTTCTAACAACAGGCATTTTATTTTACCTATGTACCACAGAAATTCTGTATCACGGCATCATTCACTCTAAGATCAGGTTTCAGTTTACTTGTTTTTATTCCCGTTCTGATCAGTGTTTTTCTCCACCCTGTAAAAGCAATAGACACCTTTCTGTTAGCCAACTAATTAAGACAAACGCAGCCGTCTATAACCACTCCTTCTCTGCATGCTGCACACAGCAGGAGGCTGCTCCTGTAAGATTGGTTTTCACAGCTTGGATTCCTCTGAAGCAGCATTTTGATAAGAATTTCTGATTTTTTTTTATGGTTAGGATCACAACAGGAACAGTTAAAATCAATCCCATCAAACTCATAAATATGATTGCTGTGATGCTGACAAAGTCTTGATTAAGACAAAGGAAAGATAGTTATGGAAATTGTTTGTTTTAAACTACTTCATTTCATTAAGGTTATACTTGCTTTTGTTTGTTAGCTTTTTTTACTGCAGAGATCTCTGAAATATAGATATTAAAATTAAAATCAGGTCTGAACCTTGGCTGTGCTTTCGCCAAACAACAACTTATTATTCAGTCATTTGTAGCTTTGCTGCAATACTTCAGATTTGAACAAAAGATTTAAATAAAAAGAACCTTAAATCATACAGATCAAAGCTAATTTACAAAAACAGGGAAAAAACTGGGGTCAAATGAAGAGACATTTTAGGAAATAAGGGAAGACTTAACTCTTCTGCATAATCATTTAGGCAGTCATATTAACAGTAAGGTTTCCAGGTCCCATGCTGCAAAAAATCCTTAGTCATTATTTATACCTAAACGCTTGACAGCTGATATGAGAGGCTTGTACCATCATGCTGTGTAAGAGAGTTTTCTAACACAGTGCAGTAGATTAGAGCCAAGCATTTCCACTTTAGCCTGAACGATGTTGTAGAAGTCCTGCAGTTCACTGAATGCAGGCCCATCCGCATGTTTATCATGGTGTGATAATGGGGAGTAAATTGAAATGTTTTACACTGTTGTTTTATTTAGACAGAAATGCAAAAACAGAAATGGGTTAAATGGTCCGTTTTCTTTGGATTTGGGTCTGTTCCATCTGTTGCATCTAAATTTAGAGTAGATGTATTTTTGCATTGCTTGGATGCTTTCTTTCAAAATTTCTTTTTTCAATGTAAAAGCAGTTCTATAGTTTACAATAAAACAAATCCTTTTAACAAAAATCACAACCTAGCCAGAATTACTTCAAGTAATCACTACATATCCGCCTCATCATAAGGTTATAACATACGTAAATATTTTCCACGTAGGATATATGTCATTAAGAAAGGCATGTGACCAAACCCTAATCATGCAGCTTCCTCTGCTCTTTATGGGTTTTAAATCTTTCTATAGTCTTTGCAAACAGCAAGAGCAATAATGGTTGAACTGACTGGTCAAATGGCATGCAGAGTGTGACTGAACAGGATTTTGTAATAAACTGTATTTCAATAATTGCATACAAATAGCTATTTAGAAATATTACACAATGTGATCATGCAAATGAAAACTGGGAATCAGTTTATCATTAATCTCTACCAAAGTCTAAAGTTACAAAGCTGTTATTTTTGTGTTTTTGAAAACTGCATGTTTTATTCATCCTTTTTTCATTAGAGCTGTCATGAACTTTACTTTCTTACAGGTGACTTAAGGAAGGAGTCTAAGATGAAACTTTCAAGGATTTTTGCCTCTGAAACTCAGAAGTTCGAACATCAAGGTGAATCTACTACACATGCAATCAATGAGTCTTTGTATTTTTGTAGCAAACCACAGCAGATTAACAGGTAGAAAGAATGATAGAAAATATAAGAACCAAGATGAAAACTAGAAGCTGTTTTACAGAGGAACCCACAATGATCAGAATGAGACAATTTCACCTGATCAGCTCCTTGAATATATAAAAAATGAAATTTTGTTTTGTTGAAAGGTTTAAGGGCTAGGACCATATGATTTTAAGCATAAAAAATTACAATCATGTTATTCTTTAATATTCAGTTTAACTCATAACCCAACAACCTAAAAAGAATCTGCAGCATTTTTATACAACTAAGAAGAAAGTCTTAGGTGGAAACTGGTTTTAGGCAGGAAAAGCCTCATGAGTGCATTTCTAGCTAGCATAAATAGCTTCATTCATAACATTTTAAATAGAAACCTGCCTGTGCTAAAATGTGCCATAGGTGATATTAGTAGCAACAACAACCCATTGCATCTCTCATTCAACATGCTAAATTATCTCATCAGGGGCAGGGGTTATTATTACTGGTCCGTCTCCAGAAAACTCACTTAGAGCATTTGCCACAAATCCATTATCTGGGCCAATAATGCTGAAAGCAAGGCTGCAACTAATGACCGTTTGCAAATCAAATAATCTGTAGATTATTTTATAGATTAATCGATTAATAATCGGATAACCAACGGTTCCTTAAAGAAGATTTTATAGGAAATAATACCAGGTGAAACTAAAACAATAAAAAACATTCTGGATAGGGCATACTGACAGACAAAAATTTTATTTTTTTTATCTTAAATGAAAAATGTTTTCATTTTTTTTTTACAATCTTGGTATTATTACTGCTTTAAGTGGGTCACTCTGTCAGCTAATGGCATGTTTTACAGTCTCTGTATTCCATTTAACCATTAATTGATTACTAAATTAGTTGACGATTATTTAAATAATCAATTAATCGCGATTGTTTCAGCCCTAGTTGAAAGTTTATCTGTCTTTCTTAATATCAAACCACAATTGAAATAAAGACATCATATTCTATCCATCGAGGTAATATAGTATCATAGATGAAAATTCAGCAAGAATTTATCAAAAGATAAGTCAACCCCAAACCTGGTAATCTCTAAACTACTTCTGTGCAGCTGAGTTCTGCAGCAACAACCAGAAAAAAAACTGCCAGATTTGTTTTAAACTATTATTACTACAAGGTGTCCATTAAATGTCGCACACAGTGATAAAACATTGCTCCAATTCTGCTCTAGCTGTCTTGGGAAGCTGACCTTATCGGTTTTGATGCTGTGAGGGTTGTTGCGTCCAGAAGAGGTTTCTCTCAGCTGGGATAAATAAATGACTGAGACAAACCATCAGCTCTTATCTGAGTGTTTCAGAGCTGAGGCCGCTGCTGGCAGCTTGACTCTGCACTCTCACAGACCTGCTGAGTGGTTCTTTGTTAAGACTTACACTGTGGCACAAACCTCAGTGCAAAAACAATCACTGCTCTGTTTTGAATCCATGTTAAAACTCCAAGGAAACAGAGTTTCATACTTGGCAGAAGTAGCTCGTAAACAAAAACCACTCTGGGATTTCCTGTCTATTTTGTTAAATGTATTTCTCCAATTTTGCAGAATGAATTCTAGTCCTTCTAACTTTTTGAAAGTGTTTGTGTGCTATTCTGCAACAAGAAACACAATTGTGTCGGTTATTATCCGTTGTGAAGGTGGAATGATTTTGAGGAAAAGGCTTTCTTGGACCTTACCAAGAAACCAGCAGTTCCGGCAGGATGAAAGTTGCCAATAGCTCCAACAGCAGACGCCAGATCCCTTTCAATTATAGATGATTCAGCTACCTTTTTTAACCTCCCTCCGCCTGTTACCTCATTCTTCTTTCTTTCAGTTTTCATCATTACTGCCCATCTGCGCACCTTGAGAACTGACATTTTCCAACTCAAAACCTCCATTTGTAATGCATGAATTATTTTAATGGAGTTAACCGAAGAGGGAATAATGGAGCAACCAGATGGGGATTGTTCTAATCCCTGGTGGGTTTATGTGTGTTTCAAATAGAAACCAATGGGCTGGATAGTACTGCTCTGCTGTCAGATTAAAACAGGGGTTAAACGGGCAGACCATAACGTCTTTCTAAGATCATTTGGCAGAAACACTTGGAAAATACTGTTCATCTTTAACCTTATCCAAGACCTGAGATCAGACAATAGTAATGTCCATCTTCTGAACAAAAACATTCCCTCAAAGTGATTTTATGGATCCATAATTTCCTGACTTGAATAAGTGTTACTCAGCCTCAGATACAAAACACAAAGAGGATAGAAAGATGAATGGACACACGGGATAATCTGAAAGGATGAATGTTTGAATGAATGCATAGATGGATAAATGGAACGACCACACAGAAAGAAAAATCTGAAAGCATGATGCATAAATAATAAAGTCAACAACCAGTGTGCAACTGATAACTAGTAAAAAAAAATAAAAATTTATTGGTTGCAAAACATCAAAGAATCAGTTATTATAAAATGTCCCATTTAACTGCATCAACATGGAGGAAAAAAAAACTTTCACACTGCTAGAAGTTCACATCATGCAAGTAGCTACAATAACATTAAACCTCCTGTAAAGCACTTAGATGAAACTTGTTAGCAGTAATGCAGTTGTTCTCAGAGAAGGGGAGAATAACCCTAATTTCTGTTCCTACTTTAATAAGACTGCAAGGATAAAAAAAAGAAAAGTTTTTGCAACAAACACTCAGTTGAAAAAGTAGTCCGTTATATTTAGTTGACCCAATAACATCAGCAGACTGCCTCAGAGACCGTACCATAAGAATGTGGATGATACATCCACTAGACATGGAAATATACTGATTTAATTCATGTGAGTTTATAAAAAAAAAAAAAAACAGAACAATAAGATATAAAGAGGAGAGACTGCCACCTCCTCACCATAACCCACAGTGCTGCACCAAGGACACCGAATCCAGTGCTACCATGGTAATAACAGGCAACCACAACCTTGCATCAGATGTGTAATGCTTTCTTCAAACCATCACAAACTCAAAACGGCTGTCACTGATTTCTCATCACAACCAAGATGACCTCTATTTATGAAAAGGGCCCTTTCATGAATATATGTTTAAGTACTCATGATACACAGCATTTACCACCATATACTTTCCATGTGGGGGGAAATTAATTAATTTTATTTGAAGAAATATTTTCTAAGGTAAGTTAAAAATCTAAATTGATTAGTCTAATAAATGTATATGGCTATTATTGCTATTTTTGTCTGACTGGTATAGCTAAAGTAGTAACTTCAAGGGTTTTATTTCTTAAAACACATACAGAATTTGTTTTTGTTTTTTTGGTTGGCTTTGCTCTAATGATCCATAAAAAGAGAAAATCCTTTACCTGAGGAGCCGCAATGTTGAGTCCAGGGTTGGCCAGTTCAAACCTCTCCTGGGATTTCTCTCTGGCAAGACGAGCCGCCTCCTTCACCTCCTTAAACTGCTCTGCAAACTTAAGGGGGGAGTAGGAAGAGAGGAAGAAGTTAATCTCTGAATCATTAAAATTGAACGAGACTACTGTATTGATGGGGAATCTGTGCTAACTTTGTGCTTATGCATCACATAGATTAAAATCCAGGTTCTGCAGCAGAAGTAAAATATAAAAGGTCACATCATAACTATAAATTAATGACCTAGAGGGAAACTTCCTTCGGAAAAACTGGACATTGGCATAAATAAAAGGTCAAGTTTCAAACATAAAATATGCCTTAAAGGAACAGACCTTATATGTCTACAAGATGTTTTTATACAAGGCATATTTTCAGCAGGTGAGTCTCCTGAAATGCTGCCACAGTCCTTGTGAAAACAATGTTACAGGTTCAGCAGTAAGCGTGTCCATCAATACCTGCTGCAGCTGCTGCTCTGTGGAGAAACCCAGGCCATAAACGGTGTTCGCACGGCTGTCTGCCCACTGGCCAAACTTCTGAGATGTTTTGGTAAACGTCATGTTGGGGGTGATGGTGCTGTTGATGATGGCCTATTGACGCATATTTAAATGTCAATGTTATTATATAATATCCGTAGAGAAGAGAAGCAAAATAACAAATTAAAGTTAAACACACCAGAGACTCATAAACGTTTTCTCTTGATGGCCAAAAGTACATTTATTTTGATAATTAGGGCTCACTGTTCATTAAAAATGTCAGTCTCTCAGAAAACTTGATTATTAAAGACATATAAATCATCCTTTTTGAAACAGAAAGAATGGCTGTATAATGGCGACACATTCTTTGCAATCAGCACGTCTGAAGTTCCTATTGCTTGATTAACTGCCTCCATGCAGAGTGGCATGAAGGCAATCAGCCTGTGGTTCTATTGAGGGGTAATGGAAACTCTGGTTTCTTTGATAACAGCCTTTAGGTGGTCTGCATTGTTTGGACCCTATGCTCTCATCTTCCGCTTGGCAATAGAACATAGACTCTATATGAGGTTGAGGTCAGCGATACCTTAGTCATTAAAATGGTTGTCTGCACTTTAACAGAGTGGGAGGGTGCCAAGTTCTGCTGAAAAATACAATCAGCATCTCCAGAAATGGTTGCAGTAGGGCCAGCATGTAGTGCTATGAGGTTTCCTGCACTGTTTCTTGAGGATCCAGTGGACCAATATTAGCAGATACCATGGCTCCTGAAATCATCCCTGAATGTACTCTGCAAAAACATTCTGAAAATGAGTAAATACTTCTTCAAATAAGTGTGTTTACCCTTAATTTGAGTATGGAAAATAAGATGATCGGCTAATAGAATGAGCATTTTTAATCTTAGAATAAGATAATTTTACATTATGCACTTGAAATAAGAGACTGCTGTTGTTTTTTCTTATTTCAAATGTAAATTGTCTTGTTCCATTGGCATAGTGTCTCACTTACCTGCTTAATTGAAGAAAAAATGTACCTATTTTAAGAAAAAATTACTTACTTAGATTTACATGTTTTGCAGTGCTCTACATTCTCCAGAATGTGGGTCTATACTATTCATATAAAGCATTCATTTTACTTTCATTTAAAAAAGAAAGGTTTAGATCAATGGAGAAAAATTCCACTACTTCTTCTGTTTAGGCAAGATGTGATGATTCCACCATTGTCATTGGCTTAAGGCAAGGCTAAAAGACCAGGAATGCAACAGCTGTAGCTGACGTACAGCTGAAGCTCAGTCTACACCTTGTGAGTTTACACTAGTTTCTTGAATGGAATTTTTCTCACCATCCTCTCAAGACCTTATTTATCTTTGGTGTATCCCCTGTTGCTTATCAAATTGGTTATAAACCCCAAAAAGACTAGAGAATCATAGAATCATCATAAATGTGTTGCATGTCCCAGGTACATAGCATTATAATGATAATCAAATTGTTCATCACAATTTAGGAGCTGCAAGCAGACATTAGTACCTAACATGGATGCAAAAAAGGGAGAGAAAAAAATATTTTTTCCCCCCTATAAAATCCTCAAGAGAATTCAGTCATTTCAGATGGATTTGTTGCCAAAATAACTTCTTTAGTCTCTACTCCAAAAGCCTCTAGTCTCAGAGGAGAAAAACTGGCACAAATGTCTTTTGTTTTCTCCATGTTCCACTAAGAAGACATTCTGCTGGAGTCTCAGGTGCTTTACACCATCGCAATAGATGCTTTAACTAAGAGAAAGTAGGTTAGAAATATTCTTTTGATAACCTGTATATCCTAATAGTATATTCCTACCGTTTGAGGAGAACAAAATTAGCCTATAATAGAATAAAATATAAAATAACATTGCTGATAAATAAATGCATGTTATGAGTGTCTATGTGTGCTAATGATGTGCTGGGCTCTCACCTTGGTCCCGCCCACACTGATGATGCGGTAGACGCTGCGGCTTGCATCATAGAAGAAGGACACAGTGACAGCATGCTTGCTGGCTGGCAGCCAGTTACGTTTGGTCGCCGGGTCGATCTGGAAGACATGGGCTCGGGTGCTGAAGATGGGCTGCTCCCTTTAAAGAACAGGGATGAATACATGTCACAGTTTATAAAGGCTAGCATGGCAAATGTTGGAGGAATGCAAAGAAACCACATGTATATAAGAAGCTTTGGATCATCCTGTTATATTGTCATCAGACAGCATATTCAATAAATAAAAATCTATATTTATATGTTTAAAAAAAATGGATTTCAGAACAACCTACATCCAAATAAAATAATTTATTAAGATTTTCTGGAAAAACTAAATTAAACACAATACTATAATAATAAAAGTCCTATTTCAGTTGCCTTAACAGTGTCATATTATCTTAAGCACACAGAAGACAGTCTACAGGCTGCCACATCAGAGCTCATATTTAAAGTTAACACAATATCATTAATGTTTTCCAATGACCCTGAGCTATTGAAGGCAAGATAAAAAAATTGTTTATTTTGGTGCGGAGAAGCTTTGCTAACCTCTAGCAGTCCAATTAGCCACTGTGCTCCACATTAAGACCAACTACAAACACTGGCTTTGGGATGAACGATATCCAGAGATGCGCAGAACACTGAAGGACCCACAGAGGCCCTCTGGTGAATTCATGCAACATTACACAGCTAATAGTGTTTGCACAATGTCAATGCATGCAATGAGGCACAGCTTCTTCTGCTACAGATATGTGCCAACATTAGGCTGATAATATGAACTGGGAAGCGTCCTTCCACTGAGGAGGAGAAAACACAGTTTTTATGGGTCAGCACCGCCTATATAAGGAATCCTTCGAGGCAGATTTCATAGGAATTACAGCTCATTTGCATTTAAACAATAGTAGTTATTGTTTCTGTCACAATTGACAATAGACAATAGCAACTGAGCCAAGAAAACGGATTTAGATGGTGTTATTCAGGTTGAGCACAGCTGTAGCCATGGAATAACAAATATAACAAACTTTTGATACCAGTTCATTCAACTTCCTCCAATAATTACATAGAAACAAGAGGCTGTCTGTCTTGTCTCATTGTGCTACCAAACAATAACCTCAGGCATTCATGCACATTGAGTAAAACGACTCATAACCCTTAAAGTCCAACGTTATACCAGCATGCTTTTCTTTCACTAAAACTTGTAACACTGCTATCTTAATATTAAGTCACAACTCATAGGATGGGGCTAAGCTTGTGGGAACTGTCGACTTGGTTTCTTGTTTAATCAGTGAGTTTTTCTGCAGCTGTAGCCCATCTGGTCCAGCGTGATGTGATTATTCAGATAATAAAGACTCAGACAAGTCTACCTATTCTCTTTTGACCTTTGACATCTACAGCTCACTGGATATTTTATATTTTTCCCATTCTTCTCTGTAAACTTGAGATATGATTGTTGAAGAAAAATCCCTGTAGTTTCTGACAGACTCAGGCTGGCACCAAAAACCAGGCTATGTTTAAAGTCTCTTAATTCACCTTTCATCTTCATTCTGATGTTTTGTTTGAACTCCAGCAAGTTATCTAAAAGCACAGAGTTGTTGACATATCTACCTTTAAAGAATTTAGTTTTTTTCCATTAAAAAAAGAGTTCAGGAAATTTGCAGCATGTTTTAGAGCTACATTTATTGAACTCAACATACACAAATTTGTTCTTATAAGTGTAAGTAATTTATTTATTAGCTATTTTTGTTTCAGGGTGGTGCAGTGGCCTGGTTGTTCTCCCTTGGCTCTTTGAGGAAGAATGGCTTCAAGTTGCACAAAAGTGTTGATGTTGTATGAATATACTTCTGGTTGAGCCCTCCTCCTTCTGCAGTTTAACACACAACTAAGCAAACTCTATCATCACAAATACTCCCTTTGCAACAAAAAAAACAACAAGCTTTTTAGCTTTAAACTTATCAGAACAAGTTAGAATATTAAATAAAGGCATGCTTTAGAGTCTCTACACTCATCTCTAACGATTTATAATTATTAATTTAGTTGATGATTTCAATAATCTATTAATCACGATTAATCCGATTAATTGTTTCAGCCCCACTGTGAACACCACAGCTGGGCACATTCAAGCAATTGAATATGATATAAAGAAATGAAATCTTATTGGAGTCCAATGAAGAGAAACTGAAGTCTTAACAACATTGAGTCTTTATGGCTCATGACAAAAACTACACCTATACAGTCAGGTAAAAAACAAAACCGTACAAAAGCATTTGGAAGGACTGTGTCTCCCCTCTCACCCTGAGGCACAGTGCTGTCTCCTATGCTTACAGAAATTTATAACATTGAAGACAGGCAATGTAGGGCCTACTTCCAAGACCCACCATCAATTCTGTTTCTCAAAAACCAAGGGTCGCAGGACTTTAGACTACATTACTTCTGGCTCCATTGCATCACCTATAGAAGCAACAGGTCTGTAGATGATGGCCCTTTATTGCATCCTGCAGCCCCTGGACTCCTCTGGAACCTAAAGAATCCTGTTTGTGGACTTCAGCTCTGGTTTCAGCACCATCATCCCATCCCTGCCACAGGATTAACTCTCCCAACTGAGCCAGCTTCACTATACCTGCATGCAGATCACAGACTTCCTGACAGACAGGAAGCAGCACTTGAAGCTTGGGAAAAAGGTCTCTGACCCCACCAGGTCGCCTCATGGCAGTTTTCTTTCCTCTTTGCTCTTCTCACCGTAAACCAACAGCTGCACCTCACATCACTGTTAGGCTCCTGAAGTTTTAGGATGAACAACGCCCCCATTGGGCTCAACTGTGAGAGTGATGAGTCAGCCCACAGGTGGGAGATTGATCATATGGGTGCAGCCTGAACAGTCTGAAGCTCAACACTGTGAAAACAGTGCTGGTTATATGCTTTAGAGAGAACATAGATCCATCCACCCAATCATACTGTGTGACTCTCCAGATGCCATCATGGACTCCATCCACCTCTCTCAACAAGAAGGCACATCAGGTAAGACTGAAGCGGACCCCCAGGGCCCAGGTCCACCAGACTCTATCCCATTTGGAAAAATCAAATAAACACAAACATCTCAGCACATCTTTATATTATTGCAGTTGTATGTTTTTAATATCTGCTGTGGTCCTTTCCCTCTCTCATAAGCTGCACTACTCGTCTCTTTTCTCATAATATTCCTTTACACTTTCATTTGTTTATTGCAAATGATATATTTCCCAATTTATTTTTATAAACATTATGTTTGTCCGTGTGTAATTCCCAATTCCTCCAATGTGTAAAACATTATTTGGCAATAAAATTATTTGGATATCTGATTCTGAAATGAGGATTATAAATACCACTAGATGTATGCATATGTATGAATGACTGTTCATCCTGTGATGCCCAGGGATGCCGTAACTTAGAGATAGGAAGAGACATATTCTTTGTCTCAATTTTCTTCTTACAAACAAAGCTAAATGTCCTTATTTTCCTTCCTTCCTTTTCTCTGGATATTTTTTAAAATATTATCATGTTAACGGTCAAATAGTACCAAATCATACCAAACTGACCATGTAGCTCCTGCAGCTAATTAACCACAGTCTTTTTTAGAGGAAAGTTTTTTGAACAATGAACAGAAAAGCAATTAAGAAAGACAAAATTAATACTTGGAGGACAAATAAAAATGTGCAATTTATTTATTATATATTATTCTGTTCATTAAAGCTTCAAGTTCACTTTGTGTTTGTTCTTCCGTCAGTTTTATGGTTTCTGGTTTCATGCAGTTAGAAATTGAAATGTGGTTTTAATCTTCTCCCGATGTTGTATCAGTGTGTGTATGCCCGGAAACATTAGAGGCCATTCTCAGCATGATCACACCCGAATCACCAATAAGGAACAACAACATCCAAAGCAATAAGGAGAACAATTCACTGCAATTAGACCCAGAGCAGCAGAAATATCATCAAACATCTCTTTGTGTCCTCAAGATGCAGTGGAACTGGAATACTTAGGAATAGGAGTGAATAGATAGAACAGATGAATGCCGCACTTTAAAATACAATGCACTTATTTGTCTTTTTTTGCTAAACCACTTAGATAATCTCTTCTAATGATAAAAAGCTAATATACAACTAAAAGAAGCTAATTATGGGAACGTTTATTGGCTTTTAAGAGGTAATTGTAACCAAAACCCATACATTGCAGTTTAATAGGAGCATTCTGTTCAAATATTCGCTTCATGAATTATTGAATGAATAAAACTGGAAAGGTCATGGTGTTCTCTAAAAGCAGTTTTCATGGGAACAAAGATTATGCCTGAATTCAAAACAATAGATCTGAATTGATCACTTTTTTCAACTTAATTAAAGTAATACTCTGGCTGCACCACAAATAAAGACGACAATAAACAAATAAACCAGAATAAGCAGGAAATCATCAAGAGTAAAGCAGCTTTTGTCAGGATTTCCCTCCTATCATATTCACATCTTAATGAGAAGCGATGAGTGACTGCTCGACAGCCGTCAAAGAAATTAATTGGCTCGCTTGCAACGTCACAGTGAAAATGCCCGACAAGCTAATCAGCTCAGACAGGAAGCGGCATGCCGAAGTTTGATGAAATGAGCAGATTAAAGCTGGATTAACGTCCTCCTGAGGTAAGCACAGCTGCCTGTCACAGACTCCTGTTCAAGCATAATCCAGTGTAAGGCAGAATAGGAAAGTCTACAGATCTACAAAGCTTTACTTTATGAAGAAAAACTTTATCTAACTAATATACATCTGTGCAGCCATTTACCATATCACATGCTCTAATTTGGAAGTTATGCTTTATGATACATAGCTAGATTTTTAAGTTCCCTAAAGCAGAGTTCAGGAAACAGTTCAGTTTAAAGCAATCAGCATGAATGTTACTTAAAAGCTGGGCTTTTTGAATTCATGTTGCCTTTTAGTTTTGTCTAGTCATACAGAGAACATCCCATTAAAGTTTATCTATTTTTATTATATTTGGACAGATGGACATTACATACAAATTTGAACAATAACAAAACAAATCAATAAGCTACTTTGAAAAAAATCTAACTTTTTCCTTCTGTTTTAACACCCA